GAGGCAGTGTCAATTACCCACTAATCCACAGTGAACATTTTCACATCTTTTTAACCACATCAAAGTTCAAAATTGTGGTGATAATTGTGAAACTCTTCACTGTAGATCAGTAAGCAAGCATGAGTAAGCCTGTGCTTACCTTGTTTAATGGGTACTCCATCCTTTTTCAGGGAGTTATATTTGTTCAAAAACATATTAAGAAGCACCTGTAAGACAACTTTCTTTACCCAATCTATGTAATTAATTTGCTTAATCTATTTACTCCTGAATATCCCTAGAAAGTAAAACAGGGAAAAGCAGTATCCACTGGTATTTGAAAATATCATGAACATACAATCCCAACAAAGTCTACTATACTGCTTTATAACATATTTAGCTTTGCATCCTAAGGAATAAAACAACTTCATTCTTTACTCAAAAGACTGAAGAAAGAGATACTTACCTCTGTTTCCTAAACTCCTCCCAGAGGCAAATCCACTTCTCATGAAACGATCTCGTTGAGATCCATCATCCATTTCTAAGCAAATAAAATTTTGAAGGAAGACAAATAAAAACAAGAATTTCCTCATTGGTCTGACAAGATATTGATGAAACCCCCCAGATTATGAACCCTGTAATCCTGGAACTGAACTCACCAGCCTCCCAGGCCCTCCTACAATTCAGTGATAGTTATTACATTCACCATATTGTATAACCATCATCACAAACTGTTTTCAGATACTTTTAACATGTCTTAAATCATTGGGTAAAATCTATCGTTTAGTTAGTAGCTAGTTACTATAAGGTTATGATGAGTCAGAATCAACCTGATTATGGTGGGGTGAGTAGGATACTAGACTTTACAGTTCATTTTAATGAAGGCACTTTGGTGGTTCTGACAGGTCAACATTCAACTACTAATCACAAGGTTAGCAGTTGAAACTCACTATACACTCTCGGGAAGAAAGATGAGGTTATGTGCACCCATTTGCAAAGCCTGAGTCACTATAATCAACTCAATGGCAGTGGGGTTCACTTCAATGGGAATACTCCAAAATAAAATAATGTATGATGTTTGCTCTATGTTTCTTATATATCTTTACATGGCAAATAAGGTACTTCCCAATTCTATTGGAATATTAGTTTTATTCAAGAATGACAGTTGAATTACTAAATGTTTTGGGGAATTACAGATTTATGTGTTTATAAATCTATGCCTACAGTAATGTCTCATTTTTGGATTTTTAATAGTGAAGTAACTTTGTGTTCCTGGGATAAGCCCTACATGGCTATTCTATTTCAGTGTGGGTGAGATTCAATGTTTCATTTAGCACTGTTGAAATACTATTCTTAAGTATTATTGACCTTTTCTTTTCACATACTGTCCTAATCAGATTTTAGTTTCAGGTTTTTATCTCTCATATTAAAAATCTCTAAAACAGTGGAGAGCAAATGTTTTGAGAATGATGAGGGCAATGAATGTACAAATGTGTTTTACACAATTGATATATGTATGGATTGTGATAAGCATTGTATGAGCCCCAGTAATTTTTTTTAAAAAGCTCTAAAACATGGAAATTATCTGTTTACAAATTTAGTAGACTGTGTCCACAGAACTGAGTAGGCAAGGTTAGGTTGTTCATGTTAAACTTGTAAATTAAAATATAGTGCACATATAGACTTCAGTAAGCTAAGGAGCCCTGGCAGTATACTGGGTTACCAGCTGGGTTGCTACACCCACAGAAGCAATTCTATTCTTTCTTATAGGGTTGCCACTGCCACTTGATGGAAGTTAAGTTTGGTTTAGATATTTTATATATATATAAATATACACAGTGGACCCTCGTTTATCGCGGTTAATCGGTTCTAGACCCTACCGTGATAAATGAAATTCCACGAAGTAGGATTCCTTATTTGTAAATCAAATATTTTCGTAGTTAGAGCATAGAGGACATGAAAAAACACCCTTTAGTCACCATTACACTCATATTACCCAATTTATTAAACGAAAAAGGGAAAATACAGTAAAACATTTTGGACGTTACAATTATCATTTATTATTTATTATATTATTTATGGCATCTAGTTTACAGTATTACATATTTCACATACAGTATTATTATACATAGTTCTTACAAATACTGTAATCAATAGCCTATGAAATGACTTAAGGGATGTACTCTACAGGTGGGTCGCCGTCTTTCTCCTCTGAAGGAGGTGTAGGCAGTGGGTGCTGTTACGCAAAAAACGCGATAGAGTGAAGCCGCGGAAGTAGAAGCGCAAAGTGGCGAGGGTTCACTGTATATACACACACACACACACACACACACACACAATAAATGTACAACTCATTGGATTTTCAAAAACTGAAAACATCTTAATATAATCAGCACCCTAATCACAAAACAAGAAACTCAGAGCCCCTTCAATGTCTTCCATCCAGGTAGTACCCATATTCCATAGGTAGCTACTATTCTTATTTCTAATAGGATATAGATTCATTTCCCCCATAAGTGGAAACCATATAAGCACATTCATATTTTTTGTTTTTATTGTGCTTTTGGTCATGCTTCTAGTAGTAGTTATATATTATTCACAGATAAGTATTGTTTTGGTTGTCAGCGTCCAGAGAGTTGGTTCTGACCCATAGTAACCCTATGCACAACAGAACGGAACACTTTACAGTCCTGCACCACCCTCACAACACAATTGCTCCTATGCCTGAGCTCACTGTTACAGCCACTGTATCAATTCATCTTCTGGAGGACTCGCCTCTTTTTAGCTGCCCTCCACTTGACCAAGCATGATGTCCTTCTCCAGGGATTGGTCACTGCAGACAATATGTTCAAAATACGTAAGATGAAGTCAGTCTTGCCATCCTTGCCTCTAAAGAATATTCTGGCCTTACTTCTTCCAAAGGACAGACCCGTTTGTCATTTCAGCAGGTCGTGGTACTTTCAATATTCTGGTCCAGCACAACTCAAATGCATCGATTCTTAAGTCTTCCTTATTCTATGTCCAACTTTCACATGCTTAAGGGGTAATGAAAACTACCATGCCTTGGAACAGATGCACCTCAGTCCTCAAAGCAACTTCCGTGATTTTCAGCATTCTGAAGGTGTTTTGAAGATTTACTTAATGCAGTGGTTCTCAACCTTCCTAATGCTGCAACCCTTTAATACAGTTCCTCATGTTGTGGTGACCCCCAACCATAAAATTATTTTCATTGCTACTT